AAAAGGCTTACTTAAGTACTAAACATATATTATTATTATTATTATTATTATTATTATTATTATTATTATTATTATTATTATTATTATTATTATTATTATTATCGAATATAGAAAAAATGGCAACGACCTTTGGACAATTTACGTCCAAACAATTGAAATAAAGTAAATGGTTTGTCAGCCAACTTGCACCATGTTCATGCCTGCTATTGTCTTCCAACAATAGTATATATCATCACCATCACCTTTTACTTGTCAATGACAAGGATTACTAATATTATAGTCTCGTTATGGAACTATTTTGTCGGGATTTGTAACTGATACATTATTATGAAACCGTCGTGAATAGTTGATCTAACGGTTACAAAATTCCGACAAAATGGTTCCGTAACGGAACCGTAGAATCTATATACATATAAAAAGGTTTGGCATTTACCTGAAATAGTAACTAAATTCCCGCCTAAATAATTTGTTTTTACTTATATTAGTAACTTTTTTAAATATTTTTTGAAAATGGCGGTAAATAATTTAAAATTCAAATTAAATAAATCAATTTAATTAAGGTACATAATCATTCTGCTAAATATGACACAGTTACCATTGAAATGAGCAAATATTTTAGGTAACTAATTATTTTATTAAGATCTTTATATAAATGTTACATATAAAAGATCTCATATTCCCTCTTTCACCTCACCATCCGTCAAAATTTTCTTCGCCATTGTCGCCGCTCCTCCAAATTCCGAACCCTTCGCATCAAACCCGCTACTGACTCGACACATCCTTGAAATCGGCATATCCTCTTCCGCCGACGCCAATCACAACTCCCGGCTCAAATCAATTACGTATTCCAGCGGCTTCAAACTTTTACTCCCCATGCCTGGAAGAATTGATGTCGGGTCCCGAGCGGGAGGATAGAGATTCAGAGAAAAAGAAGAGGATTTGCGATTTCGAAAATGAAGAAGGCGGTGGATACATAAGCTGAAGAAAAGACAAACGAAATAAAAAAAAAA